GATGGATACTACATTTATTTAAATAAATGAGTAAGGGTAAGCGGTTGTAAAAGGTACTCTCTTGCTGTGGTGGCCAAGGTTCCAAGTAAAAAGAAGCTTTTTTTTTTAGCAGTATCCATTTTTATCCTATCAGTGGTCAGTCATGGTCTCTTCTCACATTATTGTCAGCTCAGAAGTTAGAGTTCTTGTTGGCCAGACTGTTTCTGAATCCCATCTCATTCCTTCTGTAACCACCACCTCTACTTTTCTAATCCACCTTCTATACCAAATGATTCTAGACCAGGGGTGGGCAAACTTTTTGACTCGAGGGCCACAATGGGCTCTTAAACTGGACCGGAGGGCCGGAACAAAAGCATGGATGGAGTGTTTGTGTGAACTAATATAAATTCAAAGTAAACATCATTACATCAAAGGGTACATTCTTTTTTTTTTTTTTTTTAGTTTTATTCATTTCAAACGTGCCGAATCCGGCCCGCGGGCCGTAGTTTGCCCACAGCGGTTCTAGACCAAACTCTTCCCATAAATGCTTTCTTAACATCCTGTCCTCAATGCCTGCTACACATTTCAGCCACAAATTCTGGGTGAACAGAGGTTTTTTCCACACTGGTCTCTGTATATCTGGCATGTCCATCACTGCTGGGTTCTCTTGTTCATGACCTTAGGCCTGATTTTAATGATTCTTTCAGGTATACAGGAATCCTTCTGACACTCCATTCCTCCTTCAATGTACAGAAACTACTCTACCTCTCTGGTGTGCCACAGAGAGTGGCAAGAAATTGGGGGTCTTTCTCATGCCTGACACCTGAGTGAGGTGATTAGGCTGGCCACTGAATTCCCAATATAACTGAGATTTCTATTAACGTCTGTGCCCAACCTCCACAAAAGACAGGAAAGAGCCATGATGTTTCTGTACCCTTCTCACCGCCAACCCTAGTTGTCCACATTCCAGAAATCTTTCCTGGTCTTGAAAGACAAGAAGCTTTTCTTTAACATCATTATGCAAGATTTTAAACTCACTGTTCATTGGGCATGGATTCATGAGATTAAAATGTCTTTGAAAGACATTTATGTAACTCTCAAACTGAGATGGCATCAAGACAGATTAGACAGCATGAAAACCCCAGGCACTCTGAAGTTGAGATGACTAGGAAACATGAAATATTGTTATGATCATGGTACAAGAAATAGGCAGTTAATTCGGGTGGTACTATGTTAATGAATCCAGTAGAAAATAATTTTGGTCTTCACCATCTGTTTCAAAATACTGTTGTTTTAAAAGATACTTTTGCCTTTGAGTTTTCCATATGAATATAAAACGTCCAATTAAAACTAAAAATGTATTCTAATTACTTTAACAGGTAGGTCCACAAATACTTAAAATATACAGTTAATATTTACTAGATGAAATCCTTAGCCATGTGCATACCATTGATGATTGATAAACACAGAGGAAGAAATGGAGGATAAAAAAAGAGGGAAGAATGGAAAATGAATAGGGGGAGAGAAAATTTTTTTTTAAAGAGGAAGAAGGAAAAAAAAGGGAGAAAGGAAGAAAAATAACGTAGAAATATAACACCAATAAATACTGGAACAAGTAAAAACTGCTAAAAACGTAGAGAGAGTAAAGGTCTGCTGTCATTAAGTAAATTTCTAAAAATCGGTTTATTCACTTTATCCTGTATCGTCATCTCAGTGATCAATTTGCTAGGCAATTGCTTAACTCCACTTCAGTTTACTTTTGCAAACAGTCTTTGGGTCAACATAAAAAACTCAAATAGTTTCAAAAGTGAAATATTTTGAAAGCATTTTGTTTGCTAATACAAATATACCTTATGGTTAACTATTTAATAGAGATTGACTTCCTCCAACTTGGCCCAATTATGTGATGAGTTTAAGACAAAACAGCACCAGCAGCACTTAGATTTTTAAAACATGGTTAAAGTGTAAAAATCAATCATTAACCTCAAAATTTTCTTCAGCATCTTAGTAGCATGTTCTGTTTTGCTAGCATTGTATTAAAAACTAGGGGCCTGGTGCATGAAATTCATGCACGGGGGCAGGGGAGGAGGGGTCCTCAGCCTGGCTTGCACCCTCTCACAGTCTGGGGTCCTGCTGTGGCAGCTGTGCTCAACAGCTGAGAGATTGGCTTCTGGCTGAGCAGCGCTCCCACTGTGGGAGCGCACTGACCACCATGGGGCAGCTCCTGCTTTGAGCATCTGCTCCCTGGTGGTCAGTGCACATCATAGTGACCAGTCATTCCACTTTAACAATCGCTTAGGTTTTTATTATATAGATAAGTGGGCAAAAGTCACAGCTGTCATTCTCAGCTATTTAAAATAATGGCATCATATAATATGGTTACTTACTACTGCATTGTAACCTCACTGAATTATTGAACTATTACTTTAATGTTTTCCTGGTAATTTTTTAAAGGTTCATCAGTGCTTCCTTATTCTAGATCTTATCATTATCCAGAACTGGATATGCATAAGAAACCTGGAATTTAAAGTTGAATTACATGACTGTCTAAATGTATTTGCTATCCCCTATTTTTTTATAAAGCAAATGAATGCAAAGTAATAAACCCTGCACAAAAAATGAAAATTACTTTTGGATGGCATTCTTTTTGAGATGGACCTCCTCCTATGATTAAAATATTACAGCATGCTTTAAATATCAGCAGGGTTGAGTAAGTCTTTAAAATGAATACTGTGTTTAGGGTCTTTGATATTTTAATATTCCTTCACCATTTTAAGAAAGCAAACTACTTCTATAGCAATGAAATGTCTCAAATTCTATAAAGCAAGAAAACCAGGAATGTATTCTCTGACAGTAATACCTATCAACTATGGCTCAATGGTTTCACTTGATATTAAACTGCAAATTCCATTTTTAGCTGGAAAACCTGTAAAATATTAGATTCCTCATATTAAAGATCAACATACCATGACCAAATCAGGAAAAAACTTGATTACTGCATTTATGTATGCTAAATTAGATTAAAATCTGCCCTTCTAATTACCTGTGTATTATGTGTGCCAAATGCACAGTGTATTAAACATTTTCCCTCTGAACTCCAGTGGCACTTACTTTCTAAGCTTTTCATTTAGTGTTAGTTACCATTTCATTTTACTAATTCTAATTTACCCATGTGAAAATCACCTGCAATGTCCTTGAGGACACACAGCCTTTAATATAGAGGGCTGTGTTTATATATTATCAAATGTTATGTCAGTTTATTAAGCAACTTACTTTTTCAGGGACTACAGAATCTGGTGAACAATGGCCCAAAGTTAACTAAGCAGAAAAACTGGCCAAGTTACTTCTGCCCAAGATCAGTTCTGAAACATTTTTACCACAGTATGCCCCACTAGTAAACCTCCCAAAACCCACAATCACTATCCCACTCCATTCAGCCATCCATGTCTCTCTTACACATCACAGATGTGCAGGGTGGTTTTTCTTTTTTAATTGATTTCAAACAGGGATAGGAAGATAGAAACATCAATGATGAGAATCATTTATCGGCTTCCTCCAGCACACTCCCCACTGGGGACTGAGCCACAACTGGGCATATGCCCTTGACCAGAATCAAACCCAGGACCCTTCAGTCTGGGGGTGGACGCTTTATCCACTGAGCCAAACCAACTAGGCCTAGAGCAGGTTTTTACATGCACTAACCCTCACACCCTGTGTCTTTTCTATCCTTTCCATCAAAGTAAGCATAATCTTCAGCCTCAACCTCTGTACAAAATTTGGCATCAGATGAGAAATGCAAGTGTGGTGTGGAAACACCTTCTGCAGTGGAGAAAATACACGTTGTAAAATATTTAGTAATGATCTTAGATGCATTTAACAAATATTTAATGCCTATTGCACAGTTGTTTTGAGAAATACCAAGTTTTGTTTTCAAGAAGCTGATCTATAATAGATCTTATTGCTGGGCCAGAGAGCACCAAAGTAAGGGCCAGGACTTATCTCTGAGCATGACCAACCTACCCACTGCCTATATTTTCAATGGTTACAAATAACCAAGGCTTACAGGTCATGGAATCTATTTTGAGTTATAATACAAGCTACTTAAAATTTGTGCTAAATTAAAATGTTTAGTTTTTTTCTCCTTCCTTATTCTAGTGATTTCAAAGTTTAGTGTTTTAACTGCTAGTGGTTGCTTTGAAATAAAAACGAACTTTAGGTACTGTAAAAATGCAAAGGATAAATTGCTTATTTACCTTCTCTACCTGTATACAGAGGCTCATTCCTGTTTGAGAATCCCATTTTAGACCCTGATGATTTCCTCATATTCTGCATCTTCACTTCTTAAACTAGTTCTTTAATGCCTTATTGGCTAACATTTCACTTACCCATTCTTTTCTTTAAATAACCTACTAGTTCTTTAGTTTTTCTATAATAGGTTTATAATACTACGAGCCTTTCCAGAGAAAATGTTTAATTCAGAGAAAGGATTACAACTGGTTATTGTATTTACGAATAATTATTCTTAGAACCTCTATAAACTTGGCACTTAAGTAACGCAGGGGAAAGCTGAGTTTGTTCTATTTTGTCTCACTGAATTGTATTTTTAATTTTACTTAAGCTCAGTCTGAATAAAATCCCAAGTAGTTATGCGGGCCCAGAACATAATATTCCCAAATGACCTAATTCCAGAAGGTGTGACAGGCAGAATGGGCGCCAAAATCTTTTCATTCTAATCCCTGTGAATATAAATTTATATTTATTTTTATTATATTTATAATAATATAAATATTAT